GTCAGCCTTCCTGCTCCTCTGATGCTGCTTGGCCTGCTGTGTTCGTCCAGCTCTACACCTTGTTATCTCAGATTCTCCAGCATCTGCAGTTCCTACTATCTCTGACAAGTTTTAAATTTTGAAATGGGCACGAGCAAATTTTGTTAATATCAGTATTCTGTCTCAGTAATGTATCTGTACAGAAGTTTTCTTTGAACTGGAAAGGAGAGCATGACTTGCATGATTTGAGCAGAAGGACTTGGTGGTCTTGGGAAGTCTGTTTGTGTTGAAACAGTTTAAATTTGCAACTATGTGACACCAGTGCGTTTGGAGTTTAGTCACTAATTACTAAAATGATAGTGCATCTGAAATGTACTGTGTTGTAATAAAGCAGCAATGTGGAATTGTCATTTGAAAACCATGCTAGCTTCATTTCCATTTCAGTTAACATCATTTGGCAATACAGTGACCTATACAGTGAACTATTTTGGAAGAGACCAGCTTTGGGGAGTATAATTTAATGATTTTTAGGGAGCTGCAGTCATGTTACTTCTGTATGTCAGGGTTCTTAAAGTTCTGTTTTGGAATCATCGAATCATAGAATTTTACGGTTCAGAAGGAGGGCATTCAACGCATTGTGTATCATCAGTTTCTGAAAGAGCTACACAGCTAGTCCTATTCTCCAGTCATATCTCATAGTCCTTTAACTTAATTACTTTCAAACATACATCCAGCTGTCTTTTGAAATCTCCAATAGAATCTGCCTCCACCATCCTCCCTGGCAGCGTATCCTTTAACGCCCTTCCTTAAATAAGGTGCCCAGACTGAATGCAATACTCCAAATGTGATCTGACCAAAGATTTGTAGAGTTATAGCATCACTTCTTTGCTTTTATACTCTTATGCCTCTGTTTGTACACCCAAGGATTCTATAAGTCACCTTAACAACTGTTTCAGTGTGCCTGGGCACCTTCGTGCATGCATGTGTGAACCCCAAGGTCCCTCTGCTCTTGTACTCCCCACAAAGTTATAACACTGAGTCTGTATTGTTCCTCCTTGTTTCTTCTGCCAAAATACATTATCTCACATTTCTCTGCATTGAAATTCATGTGCCAGGTGTCTGTCCGTTTGGCTAACTTGTCAATGTCCTCAGCAAATTGCTCAGCATCATCCTTAATATTCATTATTCTCTCTAAATTTTCAGATGATACGAAGCTAGAGATCTTTCCCTCAACATCAATCTCTAAATCGTTTATACGACTCAAAAAAGCAAGGGTCCCAACACCAATCCCTGGAGAACACCACTTTCAATTAATTTGTCTCCAGTCTGAGAAATGCCCATCTATACCTTTTCTTGGAATTGGAACAGAATTTAGGGGATAGCACTATGCAGGTAGTGGATTTGCATGAAATTTGTAAGTTGCACAGGAATTTGATAAGTACAGAGCAGAAAATATTGCTTGTACAAATGCAATAACTGTTAATAAATTAGCAGACTGTACCCCACACAATCCTTGACACTGGAATGTGCTAAGTTACCATAACTTCAACTACTCCCTCTGGTGATAGTGAACAGTATAGATGCATTTCAGGGGAGGTCAGATAGGCACATCAGGGTCAAGATATATAATGATGCATTTAGATAAGTAAAGTATGGGCAGAGGTTCAAGTGGAACATAAATGCTGCCTTAGACCATTTGGGCTAAATGATCCACTTTTCTGCTGTATATCCTAGAATAGGATTTTGTGATTTTTAATTTGAACTTCCAAAGGTAGTGAATGATGAATATGTTGTAAATATAATTGTATCTGGAATTTTACTGCTTTTCACTATTTTTCTTCTGTAGAAACATATTAGAGAAGCTTGAGTCTTCTATATGGGCCATTTTCTTTCAAAAAATGGAAAGCGTGTGAAGAAGAGAAGACGGAAAGTTAAAAAGAACTGCCTTCTCCGTGGACCTTGTATGTTGTGCTTCATAGTTCACAATACTTCTCTTGACGAGGATCAGTTTGAAAGTGCATCCAAACTAGCTGAGCGATACGCTGCACTGACCACGACAGAGGAATGTGCTAAGTTTCTTCTTTCTCCCAAGGAACTTGCAATCTGGGAAGAACAAGGCAAGAGTTTACTTTCCAGTGTTCCAACCAAACTGATTGGGCCACCTCTGTTTAGAACAGTCTCATCAGACTATTTGGACATGCCAGTTTGCAAACGTAAATGTGCTGGAGTGCAAACGTGTACACCTCATAAACTGCCTCGTTCTGCATTGGAGGGAGTTCCTGACACTGGTTTAAATAATGACGTAGCAGAGCATCCAGTACCTGCATGTACTTTGCCAGCTTCCACAGCAGAATGCACTAGTGTGGGTCTTCAGGGGAACATGGGTGACTGCTCTTCTCTGCTACAATGTCCGGTGTCCCCTTTGGGACCTGAAGACAATGAACTTCTCCCCCATGATAACTTAAAAATGGAATCTGAACCGCCGAATATAAATCAACTTCCTTCCTCAATACTTCTGAAGGTGAGCCTTCTAACTATGCATGATGTATGTATTATTTTAAATTTTTTCTAATATGTTATAATCAGTTATGAAAGCACGTAAACAAAACTGGATTATTCAAATTAAACATCTTCAAAATGTGTGATTTTTCAGAGAAGCTGGAAACTATATTTATAGAAAATATACCATTGTATTTCTTGACCCCCATTTACTCCATATTTAAATCTTTTCCGCTTTGCTCATATTTGGTATGCTTTGTCTTCAGTCTTGGTTCCGGGTGGGGGGAGGGGAGGGGGCATAACGTCTATTTAAAATAATTAATATTCCTGCAATATTACACCAGCAGAATAATTTCATATAATGTCATAGAATCCCTACAGTGCAGAAAGAGACCATTTGGCTCATCAAGTCTCCACTGACCCACTGAAGAGCAACCCACGCAGCCCTATCCCCGTAACCTGCCATGCCTAATCTACCTAGCCAGCACATCCCTGGACACTATGGGGCAATTTAGTCTAGCCAATCCACCCAACCTGTACATCTATGGACTGTGGGAAGAAACCAGAGCACCCAGAGGAAACCCATGCAGACAAGGGGAGAATGTGCAAACTCCACACAGACAAGGCTGGAATGAAACTTGGGTCCCTGGTGCTGTGAGGCAGCAGTGCTAACCACTGTTGCTGCTCTTTATTATTTGCAGTCTTAATAAGACTCTTTGCTATGCAGTGTAAAGGCTGGAATGTTGTAAACTAGTGTACTCTGCTGAATGCCTGAGATGGCCTTAAATTGTGAAATTATTCCATACCTGTCTATTTTGAATTAACTTTGAATTAGTTGTGTGAATAAATCTTTCTGCTGTAGGCTCTTTTGGAGTTGTTAGGTATTACCTTTGTATCATTTGTGTCATTTCTTTAGCTATTCGTCAAAATGTCATAATAAAATGAAATCACTCTTGCCATCTCTCTTCATTTCCAAACAATTCTCTCCCAATAATACCTCTAATCACATCATCATTTTAAAAATCGCAATTGCATCCCTTTTAAGTCTATGCTGCTCCCAAGTAAATAATCCTGATATTTGATATATTGTTTTGGCCACCTTTCCTATAGCCTGAAATGTTCTTAATCAGGAATGAACCAAAACTGTAATAGTATTCCAAATGTAGACAAATACAGCCATACAGCACGGAAACAGACCCTTCAGTCCAACTCAACTCCGCTTTATGTAGCCTAGAAAATAGTGGTTTTGTGTATAACTTCATAGTGAGGTGGTCAAAAAAAATTGCTTTTTAACATCTTTAAGTCTAGAATGATTTCAGTGCCGGAAGTTTGTCCTATCAAACCCGTGCCAGCCCCTTGCAAGAACAATTTAGATAGATCTATTCCTCTATCTTCTACTGGTAGGCCTGCAATTATTTTCCTAAGGTGCTTTGAAAGTTACAGTTGAAACTTTCTCCACCATTGTTTTAGGCACTGAGGCACGGCGGCTCAGTGGTTAGCGCTGCTGCCTCACAGCACCAGAGACCCAGATTCCAGCTTCCAGTGACTGTTTGGAGTTTGGATGTTCTCCCCATGTCTGCGTGGGTTTCCCCTGGATGTTCTGGTTTTCTCCCACAGTCCAAAGATGTGCAGGTTAGGTGGATTGGCTATGTGTCCATAGTGTCTAGGTGGGAAATGTAGGGATAAGATAGGGGGTGGGTCTGAGTGGGATGCTGTTCGGAGTGGTGTGGACTCTATGGGCCAAATGGCCTGCTTCCACACTGTAGGGGTTCTATGGATTCAATGGATATCCAGATTGTAGCCAACCATTGTGTGAAAGGTTTCCCTTGTCTTTGTCTTCTTTTGCTGATGAACTTCAAATCATGCTCATTGGTTTTTAACTGTGCTGCCAATTGGAACAGTTTCTTCCTATCCACTACGTTTATACTCTGGGCATCAACTCTTCATAATGCTCCCTCTGCTCCATCTTCTCCAATTTACCCATTTATCTGAAGTCCTTCATCCCTGAAACCATTCTTGTAAATCTTTTACGCCAGGACTCCAATGCTTTCATGTTCTTTCTATAGTTTGACATCTAGAATTGTTCACAATTCTCCAGTTGAGGCCAAAAGAGTGTTTTATAACAGTTCACCAACTTGGACTTTCTGCCTTCTTGATGGCTTTTTCAAATTGACCCGCCAGCTTCAATGATTTGTGTTCACGTACTTCCACGTGTCTTTGTTTCTCCACCATGAAACCCTTTAGATTGAATACCTTTCTTGGTGATCTTACCCAAATGTGCCTCTGTGAATATTTACGCCCTCTTGAAGTAGAAAGATTTCCTCATTTCCGTTTAAGTCTTGTGTCATTTTGCAATTTTTTCCAGTGGACTCATAGTACCCAATTGCAGGCCACTGAAATATATCAGAAAAAGCAGTACTGCTAAGACTTGACCCATGGGAAATCACATTGTATGTCTTCCTTCGGTCCAAAAAGCAACTGTTCACTATCACTCAACCAATTATAGATTGGTGCTGCCACTGTCCATTTATTACTTGAACTTCAAGTCTGCTGGAAATCATTTTAAAAAGTCCATCAACATTAGATGAACTGCATGACATTGATCAAAAAAGTCAATCAAGTTTGTTAAATTTGAAATAAAAATGGAAAATACTGGAAATGCTTTGGTCAAGCAGCATTCCAGAGAGAGAGAGACAGCATTAACCTATTGGGTCAATAACTTTGAACATTAATGACTGGCACGGTTAGGAGCCTGATTCCTGTGAGCTGAAAGGTCCTGGGTTTCAATCCTAATACAGGACTTGTTGGCTCCACTCACTGATACACACAAACCACAATGTATCAGGATAGGTCTACAGTTTGTAAAATTGTTGAAGCAATAAGTCAGACAGATTGATTATAATGCTTTGTGATCTCCTGCTCTTAGAATTTGAATGCTGTCAAAGGCGAAAGCCATTTGAAAGTTTGTTGTCTGCATTTCAGAATTCGGTGTTTATTTTTTAAGTGGGGTTTCTGCATGAAAATCTAGTGATTTATTTGATTTCATTGAAAAGTGCACTTTGTGGTACTATGAGGAAACAAAAGATTTTCTGCTGGTTCATCTTCAGCTGGTATAAGAGCAAGGAGGTCAAACTTCATGTCCTTAATTATAACAAGTTCAGTAAGAATGGCAAAATTTAACATCTGTGACATGATTACCCTTCTAAGGACTTTTGTGTTGATACATTTGTGATCATTAATTTCAACAGACAATCCTGTTGGAAATGTCCGACATTGTTTCAACAAGTCTGAAGTTGCATTATTATGCATATATTAATACATTATAATTGGAAAAGAAATTCATTTTCTGTCCTAATATATAGAGTTGTGTACTTAATGAGAGTAAAGAACTTCTGAATTATTACTTAAATTCCAGGTTAAATAATGGGGAGAGGATTGAAAATCTTTGATATACGAGGAAAGCTCCATTTCCATTCAAAAGTGGCTTTAATTGGACATCAATGAAGAACAGGAGAACTGAACTATTTCTAGACATATCTGTGTATGTCTTTGTATCATAGGCACACTTTTTTTTTCCTTAGGTTTATATCAAAATACAAGTGGTGTTGGTTTAGGAGCAATTTAGGTTATTGTCCACTGCAGCAATCTGGACTTCAAAACAAAAATCTATACTCCAATTGACTCTATTAAGCTGTCTAAACTCCTGTAAAATGTGCTGTTTAGTAATAAATCATATTGAAGTAATTATTATAGATAATTGTCTGTCTGATTTGAAAAATAGCTTCTGTGTATTTGCCTGCCCTCCATTCTCATAAGCTGATTTTAATTTGGTCTGTAATTTTCTGAACAGAATGACTTGTATCTACCTCATTTTGCACTTGGTCTGTAAAACCTTAGTTCATGCCTTTTGTCACATTTTTCTTCTGATTCCCTATGTCCGTGTTTAGAATGAAAGTGGTATGTTAAACTTATCATGTTGTCATTTCATAAACTGCCCACTGGGTGTAGCTGAGATTTTGTTCACCAAAATACTTTTCTCTTCAGATATGTTTTCATTCTGCATTGTAACTTTCTCAGTGTACATTTTACAATTTAATTCAAATTGTTTTATTAGGGGAGTCTAAAACTAGAGGACATAGCTTTAAGGTGAGACGGGAAAGATTTAAAAGGGACCTGAGGAGCAGCCTTTTCACACAGATAGTGGTGCGTGTATGGAATGAGCTGCAAGAGGAAGTGGTGGATGCTGGTACAATTACAACATTTAAAAGACATCTGGATGGGTACATGAATAGGAACGGTTTAGAGGGATATGGGCCAAATATTGGCAAATGGGATTAGGTTAATTTAGGATATCTGATTGGCATGGACGAGTTGGATTGAAGGGTCTGTTTCATTGCTGTGTCTCCATGACTCTATAACTATATTGGTTTTTGGTACCTTTCAGTCATTTAGCCCGTCACTTGTTTAAAACTGAAAATTATTGTAGACTTTTCCTTTTACCAGCGGTTTCTGACCTGTTCTCTTGGATTCTTCTGTGCCTGTTCCTATTTTAATGTTTATTTCAACATTTTTTGAAGTGCAAGTTTACGCCTGCAGTTCTGAATTGTTATGCAGCTGTATTCTTTGTCATCTTGCTCCTATTATTTCATTAATTTTAACTTGAGGTTATTCAAAGCCCTACTGCTTGTGTCTTAATTTGCAGTAGGTCCCATTCACCTATGACCTCTGTGTTCACTGACTTGTGTTGATTCCTGATTGAGCAATTTCTTGATGTAAAATTTCTCATACGAGTTTTAAAATCCCTCCAAGGCCATTGTTTTCCTCCTGTCTGGCTTGGAAGATTATTACTCCTCTCCTTGTGCTTTCTCTGTTTCTTCTCTGTTCTTCTGTATATTTTAACTTTCATTTTCATTCTCAATGTTGTTGAGCATTTGAGAATTCAGCAGCACTAATGTTAGCTTCTTTGCTGCCAGAAATTGTTAATTATTCTGCAGAGATTAGTAAACATGTTTGGTAAGCCACATGCAGCAATGTAATTGATTGCAACATTTTGATTATTTATTTTCCATTTCAGGTCTTCGCTCATTTAACTTTAAAGGAGCGATGCCTTTCAGCATCTTTGGTTTGCAAATACTGGCGTGACCTTGGTTTAGATTTTCAATTTTGGAAACAGTTGGATCTCAGTGGTCGACAACAGGTATGGATTGCACTGTCTTGTGGTATAATTTGGAAAAATGAATTCTGAAAGATCACTATTATTATTATTTTAAATATTTTTCATAGGTTGCATGGTTAGGTAAACATATATTTTGAGAGAAGGACGGAATAGTTAAATAATTTGCACTGCTAAAATATACAGTCTTTATTCTGATATAATTTTATAATAAATTGTCATATGTGGAAATGAAATATGAATTGGAGTAGGTTACTTCTCCAATTTAGCTGCATTCAATTAGATCATGTCTGGCCTGATTATTCTACATTCCCTCCTACCCCTGATAACATTTCAACCTCTCGTAAGAATGTTTTTACCTCTGTCTGAAAAATTTTCAAGAGTTCTCCTTCCTCCACCTTTGCAGGGAGAGAGTTCCATCTAAACAAAAGGTTTCCTTAGCCCTGTCTTAAACAGGTTATTCCTTATTTGAAACAGCCCCTAATTTGACATTATCTTACAAGAGAAACCTTCTCCTCCACATCTCATCTTTCAAGGCCTCTCAGGATCTTGTATCTTTCAATCAAGTTACTTCTTACTCTTTTAAACTCCAGCAGATCTAAGTCTCCCTCGTCCAACCTTTCTTCATAAGACAACTCTTGCTCTCTATGTGCTGTATGTCTGCCAGATATTTACAAACCAGCCAGAAGGTTACTTTGACATAACACTTTGATTATTGAGCAAATTACGTAATACTTCAATATTTTTATTTAAGTGTTCTATTATTGTCCAGTCAAGTTGGTAAGCCCCATACAACTTTCTTCAGTTCAAAGAGTAAATTGTCTAATTTCTGTTTTGGTATGAATTTTATCAGCTTTCTACAGTCTTGAGGGTTGTCTGCGTTTTGCCAAGGCCAAAATTTATTAAGGCACTGGTGAGCTGCTTTCTGGAACTGCTGGAACCTTTCTAGTGTAGGCAATTCTACAGTGCTGTTAGGTGGGAATTGCAGAATTTTGAATGAAAGATAATGAAGGAATGGTGATATAATTCACGTCAGGATGGTGAGAGATTGGGAAGTAATGATTTTCTTGTGCATTGCTGTCCTGTCCTTCTAGATGAAGGTCATGGATTTGTAAGATGTTGTTGAAGAAGACATGGTATGTTGCTGCTGTGTATCCTGCGAATAGCACAGTTTGTGGCCAGAGTAGTTCTATATATTTAATGACACATTGTATCTAACGCCAATTGTTGTTGTGGAAACATGTGGCAGTTTTGACTTGAGCACTAAAATTGATTGAACAAAGCCTATTCAGAATTGTTGCATCGTTTTCTTTCCTTCTTTGCCAAGTAACCATCAGCATTGTTTCATAATTTATGGTAACACCCAAGTTTTGTAAAATAAAGGAGAAACTATTAATCAACCCTCAGTAATAGCTGGTGGAAAAACCTCTGCAGGTCTGGCAGCATCTGTGGAGAGAAAAGGAGTTTATGTTTCAGGTCCAGTGACCTTTCAGAGGCTCCCTGAAGAGTCACTGGACCTGAAACATTAACTCTGCTTTTGCTCCAAAGATGCTACCAAAGCTGCTGAGCTTTTCCAGCAACTTCTGTTTTTGTTTCTGATTTCCGGCATCTCCAGTTCTTTTGGTTTGTTTCCTTTATTAGTTGATGTTGACTGATTTTTGTCACCAATGAGCTTTCTGTTAAACTAATGCATTTAACATAACTCCCTATTCTGTTACCTTTAGTGGTCATTTATTTCTTGACTATAATTGTTAGTCCGCCAAACAAAACTGCTGACGTTGATTATACATCATTCTGCATTGGTCCTTCATTCTCCACTCCTAATTAGAAGTAATATTTACGGAGATATTTTATCCTGAGTATCAGTAATATCAGAGGTCTCTGGTTTGGGGGTCAGCTCAAAATCTCTGATTTGGCTTTGCTGTGAAGCGGTTAATTATTTCATCTATAAATGTGCTGTCATGGTCAGTCTTCGTTTTAAAAGTTAATTTTATAATTGCTGCTTATAGCAATAGTTGGAGGATGTCTCAATTTACAAAAGGTTAATAATATTTAATCACTCCAAGTCATAAGGAGATGTGCCAATACTACAATTTAATAGATTCTGCCAACATAGCACAAGGCTGTTTTTGATAATTATGCTTTTGAAAGAGCTATGCAGTTCATTTTATTTCCTTGCAAATTTCTTCTCTTCAAGTATTCATCCAGTTCCCTCTTGAATCTTACTTTGTTTCATCCTTTTCATATAGTGCATCTCAGATATCTTGCTGGGTAAAAATGTTCTTCTTAGCTTGTCTTTGGCATTTTTATCAATTACCTTACAAACAGTATAAATATAATTCAAACTGAGGATGAAAGGAACTTCAAAAAATATTCTGAAATAATTACGCTCTAAAACTTCCAAGAAAAGTCTTGAGAAACATGTCCTGCCAAATGAGAGATAACAAACACAAAATTTGACTTCTGTATGCAATGAAATGAATCCCGAGGTGGGCTGAAAAACAATACATAAGGATAATTTCAGACTTGAAGAATATTTATATGAAAAGGCTGAGAAACTTGTGACAAATTATGAATTCAGGATAATGAGTGACTTGAGTTCTACTTGGTGTCTACAGATGGATGGTCACAAAATGTTTCCACAAACAGGAGTTTGGTCTATTTCTTTTTAAACAATGGTTAGTTTCGTTGTGGCTAAAAATGAAGTAATTTGTGGTTTTCTGCTGTTTAATGGAAAATACTCCATGGCTTTTCTCTGTATTCTTGCTTTGCAATTTTATATTTCAAAAAAGTTATCTTGAACAGTTTTGAGCTCTTTTATTGAGATTTGAGTTTTTTTTCCCTTCACAAATTTTTCACCCTAACAGCAGTTGATCTGCTACAGAATAATTTGTGGATAAGGGTAATATTACTTCATTCGGTTGTTATTTGGTCCCACATGTGATTTAGTTATTCGATTGAACATGTTTATATTGTAAAATATAAACTAGATTCAGGGCCCAAACATATGCAGCCGTTTAATCAGATACTAAAATTCTCTTAGTATCTATGAAATAACTGCACAGAGGCTGGTATCCCGTCACCAAATCACCCTTTATTTACTTGTACACTGTCGCCAGCCAGCTAGGAGTCGGTCTCCTGAACTAAGGAGATTCTAAATCCATTTTTTAAATGACAGAAACATTTTTATTTAATTTTGTTTCTATTCACAGATTATTTTGTGAATCCACTTCTATGCACGGGTAATAGATTTCGCTACGTGCAGCACTACTTTGCACAGATTACAGACCAGGAAACAAATTTCTATATGATGTAGTTAATCGGTTGTCAGGAAAATCCCCTGTTTATATTGGTCAGCCAGGCCTTTCTGATTGGGGCTGTTAACCTGAGCCAGTCAAGGACCCCGTAGTCCACGAGGTCCACGTGGCTCCAGTCACTACATCCCTCTTCCCCTGAGTCCGGAGAAGTAGGCCTGGTCTTTTTCTTGTAGCTTTTTCTGTGATGTTTTTGCCCCAGGTCTGGTTCCTTTGAATCGGACTCTGACACTGGCAGCGTGTACCGGACTGTAGCCTGTCTCTTGCGTCCAGACTGTCTCAGGAGAGTTTCTTCATCATCTTCCTGTGGTAATGATATTGAGGCTGCATCAATCTTATTCTGAAGCTTCCGCGATACTAGCCGGAGGGAGAGAACTTAACGTCTCTGAGAGGCCTTCAGGCTGTTCTGAAGAGCCAGCTATGTTTAGTTCCTGCCCTGAGGTAACAACTTTTCAGATGATTCACATATTTGTGCAGAGCTGCCTTACCTGCCCAAACTTCGTAAGTCACGGGACCCAACCTCACTTTGCACCCATACAGGGCGAATTCAATGGTTCCAGCACCAAACTTCGTTCCCCAAATTAATTCCTCTTTCTTGCTTGGAGGAGGCATATGGCTGGCATTGGCGTCCCCAGCACTGTCTCAACCACCCGCCCCGCCCAGCCCAGCCCAGCCCAGCCCAAGGGTCTGGAAATATCAGATTTAGCTTGGTGTGGCATCTTCTGCCCATCAGCAACTCTGCAGGGGCTGTCGCTGTTGTTGCATTTGGGACGGTCCTAGACTTGAACAGGAACCGAGACAGTTTGGTATCAAGTGACGCTGCAGGCTGCTTCTTTAAGCCTGTCTTCAATGTTTGGACTGCTCTTTCTGCCAGACTATTGGATAATGGATGGTATGGAGTTGCCCTTACGTACTCCATGCCTTTTGACTTAAGGAAATACTCCAATTCCGTGCTGGTAAATGACGTTCCATTGTCTGTGACCAAAATTCCTGGGAGATTGTGTACCGCGAACAATGCTTGCAGCTTTTCAATTGTCATCGCTGAGTTTGCTGAATGGGCTTTATGCATGTCCAACCACTTTGAATGGATATCCACAATGACCAGAAAAATTCAGCACATGAAAGGACTGGCATAGTCGACATGTAACTGAGTCCAGGCTTTAGTTGGTAATTCCCATGAATGTGAGGCCACTGCTGGTGGCAATTTTTGTTCTTGTTGGCATCCTGGGCAATGCCCCACCAACGCAGCTATGAAGGCATCCAACCTTGGCCACCAGCCATCACGTCTTGCCAGCATCTTCATTTTGGAAACACCTGGGTGCCCCTGATGGAGTTTGGCCAGTATCTAGTGGCGCACTTTACTTGGGACAATTGCCCTTGCTCCCCATTGTAATATGCTGTCGTCCACGGTGATCTGGCCTCGTTGGGTCCAGATAGGTTTCAGACCGGGTTGCGATAGTCCTTCTGTTTCCCCTGTTACCAACAGTTGTTTTAGTTTTGCTAGGACAAGATCTTTTTGTGCCCACAGTGGGATATTGTCAGCGGTGACCAGAAGGGTGTCCACGAAGTTTAAAACCAAAATGGACTCTTCCAGGGGAGGCACCACTGGTGGAGTATCTGCCAGTGGGAGGCAGCTCACAGCATCCACTTCCTGAATGGTGTTCTAACTTGTACTTGTACATGCTGAGAATTAGGGCCCATTGCTGTATT